ACAGCCAGCTCTGCCTCAATATTAGTACGCAGCCTGAGTTTGTCCCTCTTCTGAGAAGCTTGATAAGCAATAACATGACCTCTAATAACGACTTTAAAGGACTCCCACAAAACCGAGTCTGAAACTGCACCATTATCATTAAATTGTAAAAATTCTGCGATTTTAGTAGATAGGTAAACCGTAAAAGAGTCATTTAGATATAAAGAGGGGTTAAATTTCCAATTGTATTGGGGGGTATATAGGTTGAAGTCAATTACCGTTGAGAGAGGTGCGTGGTCCGAGACTAAAATACTGTGATAAGTGGAACTAACCACTTTCGAAATAAGCCTGGAATCAATAAGAAAATAGTCAATTCTACTGAAACTGCCATGGACAGGGGAGAAGAAAGAGTATTGCTTTTCTAACGGATGCTGGTGCCTCCAAATGTCAACCAAGTCCAAAGATTTAGTAAGAGTATTGAGTACAGAAACAGCTCTCAAGGTTGGGGCCAGGGACGCAGAGGACCTATCCAACAATGGATCGAAATAACAATTAAAATCACCACCGATAATGATATTATGGTCATTGTATTGTGAGACAAGATTGAATATTTTACTAAAGAAGTCAGGGTTGTCAAAATTAGGGGCATAGATGTTCAAGAGGACTACAGGGGTGGAGTTGACTGTACCTGTAACAAGTATGAACCTCCCACCTGGATCACATATCTGAGTTTTGAATATAAAAGGAATAGTTCTGCGAACAAGAATGGCAACCCCTCTCGCCCTGGAAGAAAAGGCGGACTGGTACACCTGTGACACCCATACCGATCTTAATCGCCTCTGCTCTGAAGGTTGGATATGGGTCTCCTGTAAAAAAATTATATCAGAAGACAGAGATTTTAAATGCGAAAATACTTTACCACGTTTAAGAGCTTTGCCCATACCCCGACAATTCCAGGTCGTAAAAGTGATGTGGCTCATCCCCAGCTTAAGTGGGTGGATGGTGTACGACGATGTGGAAGGACAAAATGAAGGCTTTGAGGTTTGACAAATAAAGAGCTGGCACTTACATCAAAAAACAAAAACAACACATATTTAGAAACATGTAGACCCCCCCCCACGCCCGCCCACCCCACAAACCGCAGAAAAAAGGATAGCGGAACACCCCCAATATCCAACAGGGAGGCAGCCGGGAACCAGGGCCAGCCTGACTGAAGGCTAATACTCAAAAAATACCGTGGAGCCCCGTGCGCCCCACATATAATCTATTTAACAAACATGAAAAACAAAATTGTGCACCAAGTACGAAAGATCCAACTCAAATATCTAGATGGATATAAAACTTTAACCGTTGCAACAAAACTGCAAATATGCAGAAATGAGACAGAGCATACAGAAACATGTGCATATTCCCAATATCACAATGCACAAATACTGTAGAAGCAAAACCCAATAGGCAAAATAGGCACTGTACACCGTTCCAGTGCGGGAAAGACAAGAACTCTACAGTATGTAAATCACAGTATGCAAACCAAAAAAAACCTTTATATTGCGCATTGATCAGCTGAGGACAAAGATGTTGGATCAAAACATTCAACATAGCTGGGTAGAGAACATTACTGCAAAAAAATGCGCAAATATGTAAACATGTCGTGAAATTAGTAAGTCACTTGTGAATTATTATTCATTTGCAGAGCCAATGGAGTCAGCAAACCGTGCAGCTTCCTCCGGCGACATAAAAGTCTTCGATGTGTTGTTATATTCGACATGGAGCTTTGCGGGAAAGCGAAGAGAGCACTTAGCACCGGCGTCGATCAGCCGCTTCCTCACACCACCAAAGGCCTGCCGCTGCGCCGAGACCTCCGCAGTGTAATCAGGAAAAATGGAAACTCTGTCTCCGCGGTACAGCAAAGGAGACCTTTGCCTGCTGAGTCGTAGTATGTCGAACACATCCCGGTCGTTGTGGACTTTAGCGATGATGACACGTGGCCGTTCATTGGGCTGTGGCTTCGGTCTCAGGCTACGGTGGGCTCGGTCTATTTTTATCGGCCTGCTGAAGTTCTCACGACCCAAAAGCTCTGGAAGTAGGTTAGCAACGAAGTCGGTAGGGCTGCCTTTCTCATCCCCTTCCTTAACTCCCGCAATCCTCACGTTGAGTCGGCGAGAGCGCCCCTCCAGATCGTTGACTTTAGCTTTGAGGAGAGTGTTAACCACCTGTAGCTCTTTGCACGATGCTTTCAGCGCTGCTAATCGGCTATCGTTAGCGGACATAGCTTCATCAAGGTCTTCAAACCGGCGCTCAGACTCATGATATTTCTTCTGGAGAGAAGTTAGCGTTGCATCAATTGCATCGAGACGGCCCTCAACCGACTTCTTCAACCCGTCCACGAGCGAGGTTATTTTGGAAAGCTCAGCTCCATGGTTAGCGATAGCCGCTAATATGGCATCATTACCTGCCGCCGACTGGCTCGCCTTGGACGTATCCCGCTGGCTCTCATCTTTCTTCGGCATGATGGCAAAAGATCGGCTCCGACAGTCCGCGAAACAGATTTTAAAACTACCCAGCTGGTAATAAACTTAAAGTGCAACTTTATGAGTGAGAAGGCACGGAGAGCACAGAAAACACGTCTACTCCATAGCTGCACACGAGCGCCCCCCGTATTACTATACCTTTCTAATGTGAAAACAAAAAACCTACGGCTCGCGATAAGGAGCCGGCTCGCGTCGTTCACGTCAAAGACCCGGCTCTAACAACCATTTCATTCGCGACCGACACATCACTAGTCCACACCTCCAGACTTACAAACAGCTTCTTCCCCTGGGCCATTTGAACTGTTAGCATAAACTGAAGCCATGGTCTGAGTAACCTGAATCACTCAGGCCACTCACACACGGACGCTATGCAGACCAAGTCTTTTCTTTGCACTACTTCCAATCACTTTGCCACTATTTTGTACTCTAATGTGTAGCTTTCTCTTATTTTTGCATATATTTCTCCTGTTTGCTATTTATTTTAAGTATTTGTTACTTGAATTGAAAAGGAGGAGTAGAATCACCATTGTCAGAAAACAAATTCTGTATTCCTAACTCGTTTTTTGGTTTACTTATTTCTCTTTTTAAACTGTTGATGTTTTTTTGTTTCTTTTGCTTGAGGGTCCTGCACGGTACCTCTGTTGTCTCTCTTCTGGACACAGATCTATGATGTCATTCCTGAGATCTGCTGAAGCCACTCGGACAGTTTAGTGGTCACTTTAGTGTGGGTAACACTGTAGCCTTCACCTTCCACATCTCGAGCTTCTCACGTTCCCTCTTCCTGATGATGCTGACAGACAGAAAGAGAGAGAGCAATTGTTATTTGATTCTTTTGGTCGTCTCTCTATTTGTCGATGACAATAAAAATAAAGAATGCTTCAGTCTCATCTCCTAAAACTGGGGATCTGGAAAAATAAAGATTGATAACATCTTCAGTGTCTGTGAAGCAGAGGGGGGTTATTTGGATCAATCTTTTTTTGGACTGTGATGCTGTGCATCATAGGTTTGTATTAATTGTCAGTGCTGCTCGAGAGATGGATAGAACAGGTTCCAGTGCATAAATGAAAACCTAAAACCTAAGTGAGAATTCATCTTCCTCACATTACAGGCGATGCAGAGTAAAAATCCATCGGTAGTTGAAGTTTCCATGGCATCCAAACTGCAACAAACGGGATTAGCTCAGAATTATTGACTTTCGACGTGACCTTTCTCACCATCCCTCTGCCTCCCCAGGCCGTACATCTGCTTCGTTCCTTGCTTCTGGTTGTCTTCTGATAGCCCTGCTTTCCTTCACAGCTCTAAAATGTACCACACGTACAGCTACATGTAAATTCAGCTTATATAGATGTTGTCGTGGGGTTACTACACACCAGATGGAAATGAGTAAAAATAGAACTCGTGCATGTCTTAAAATAAGAGGCTGAACGTCTAATCAGAGAAATATTTGTAATGCCGACTTTACAGTACAGATTATGCTTCTGTATCAGTATCTGTGTGACTGATTTTTCAACTCTCAATAGCTTATTGTGGATCTAAAAAAAGTATTTATATGCATGTGTGTGTGCTCAGTGCATGCGTGGTTGAGCACTTTGTGGGCGATTTGTGCAGCAGATTCAAACCCCTCAGCACTCTCCATCTCTGTTCTTCTCTCTCTCTTCCTCTCTCTCTTTTTGTTTTTCCATCTCTCTCTCACCCTCACTCCCTCTTTCTCTTTGAGTGGAGCCATAGAGACACTGAAGCTCCATTCCTGATAGGTATTAGATGTTCTTTTTCTTATTTCCTCCTGTATATCCCTGTGCAAGAGCCGGCATGCTCAGTCATTGATCAGGTCTTGCTCTATGCTTTTGGAAAATTCTGCTGATGTTACTGGAAGCTTAACCATCATCTTCTTATTTTTCTTTTTTTTGAAAAAGCAAAAGTAGGAGACTTTAGGGTTCCAGTCTTGTCTTAGGGATGTTGTCAGCTGCTTCATTTGAGTGATTTTTCTCCTTTCCTTCCACAGGATAACTGTGCCAGAGTGCTGCTAGTTCGTGGAGCTGACAAGGAAGTAAAGAACTACAACAGCCAGAGTCCTTTTCAGGTAGTGTAAAAAAAAATCTTCAGTAGTGTTTGTGTGTAAGTGATTATGGAAGATTGATTCCAGCTTTCAGCCTGGGGAAACCGTCTTCAGAAGCAGCACATTTTTTTCATCCCATTTGTTACCATGGCAACGGTGCAACATGGTCAAGGTCAGCTGCAACCAGGGATGTAAATAGCTTTCTTGACAATATTCGATCATTTGTGATTAAACATTGTTAGGACAGAGCACAACCAAACCTCAGCATGCAGTGTAAAGTTTACCGTGTTTATTCATTTAGTTTCTTTTCTTTAAACTTGTAACTTCCACCAGGTCACCAGCAAACTCCTGGGTAGGCTTTACTATTAAACTGCATTTTAGCTGCACCTTAAAGGAAATCAGAAATTTTAAAATGTTACTCTTCGTACATTTTGGCCCTCTTCTCTTATTAGATTGCTATTTTCTTTTCTTTTTATTCGTATATGTGAATATTACAGACAACCCTAACCCTAAACAGATCTCTGGCAACCTGGCGCATGTTACTAGGTTAACTGGAGATCTTTAAATGTAATATGAAAATCATCTAACTTTAACAAGCTCTGTCTGTGTTCCTCCAACTTATCCCTCAGTCCGTTCAATCAGTCACAAAGGTAAAACATTTAACCCCTTAATTTTCTCAAGACAGATGAAATGATTATCCTCCATAACATGGAGTGTATGTGCACAGCGGCTTGAGCTGGTATTCAAGCGCATGTGTATTTGTATGTTTCTGCTTGCAGTGTTTGAAGTGTATATGCCTTAGCAAGCAAATCCATAAAAAATCCCAAGAAGCAGTAAGAGTTGTCTAACTGGTATGTTTGACTCATAACCTACGCCCGAGTTATAAAATAGCCATATTCAGGCAGGCGTTTATGAAAGGCAGTCCCACAGGGTCCTCAGCTGTCCTCCAAAGCCACTCCAGTGGAGCGCTTTATTAGCGTGAGCACTTCAGAGGCAATGAGGCTGAGCCGAACGAAGTTTTTAGTCAGAGTTTGAGCTTTCAGCTAAGAAGCTTAGTTTGTAGCCTAGACTTTGGATTTAGCTGAGTTGCTGTTAATATGCAGTTTTTTCTCTATCTTTGTGATGCTTTTTTGTTTGTGTTGTTCATGTTGAAACAAACATGTAGAAAACCCTCACCCTGTGAGGAGATTTGGTACGGTGCAGGCAGGCAATAAATTGGCTGCATGACTTGAATAAATATGTTTTCGTGGACCAAGTATCCTAACTTTGAAGATGGCCTAGGGTTCCACTGAACGTGATGATTTTGATTTTTTTATGCCAGCAAAAACACCGAGTGAAGCTGTGTGTCTGTCAAGAACGAGCAGTGTCACAAACATGTGGTCTAGACTGTTTTGTCCATATTTGTGCTGTCGTTGCTTCTTTGCTTAGCTTTTTGCTGCAGAGAAGAAAGAAGTCATAAAATAAACTTTGTTTTTTAGCGTTTCAAACAATAAAACGGCTCACTGCAGCCATGGTCTGACTTTTTTTGTTTTGTTTTTTTCCTTTAATGGGTGGTTTTGTGTTTCTTCCTCTTTGTAGTGAATCCTGCTCGGGTTGTGCTTTGGTTCCCACAATCCTTCTGTCTGCATAGCCAAAGAGTTATGCAAATGGTCACCAACATAAGACCATAAATCCTTAGAATTTCAGGCACAAGACAAACATGGAGTAATACGGAGTTTGAAGCATTACTAGATGTGAAAACTCTCTGACTTATGTAACTCTGTTATGACAAGGCAGGCTTTTTTTATTTGTTTGCTAAGAATATGTATTTAGCCCGCACTCACTATCTCGATCAGATTACCTCTTGTGCTTTTCCTTTTTAAAGAACCTTCGAAATAGCAACCCATAGAGTATTTCCACTTAAATGGAGTCTGTTTTTCACACAGGGCTGTTAATGCTCCGGCTGCATCTAATCACTAAGAGAACATCAACAGTAGTCAGTATGGTAATATACTGGAGGCAGACAATATAAGAATCGAGCACAAAAACTAAGGAAATGGCATTTAGTTGATTTTTTTCTTTCTTTGAACACTTTGGAGATGGTACTGGATCTCTCTCCAAATAATAATGCTGCAACATGAAGTTGCTCTGTGGCACGGGCCCTATCCAGATCAGTCAAGCGTGGCGTGCTTGGAGCAGACACCAACTGACCGCTCTAGCAGGGTCTGTGCTCACAGGTTCTAATCAGGCACCTGAGTGTGTGCACCTGGGCACCAGAAGCTCCAAACAAGAGTCCGTAGCAGAATAAACCTTTTGGCATTGGCGCAAACCACACACCTATCTCTGCTGCTCAACCAACAAACACGTTTTCCTCACAACGGTGGAAAGTAAACACACAATTTAGTAGGTATAGGGTTTATTTTCAAAAAGGATTTACTTATCCTTTTTGTTAAATTTATCACATAATCACAGTGCAGTTTGACTGTGTGGAGATTTTTTTTCCTTTCCTTTTGTCTTTTGAGAAGATAAACCAATGGATCTATCAGCTTACATTAAAACTGACCAGCCAGCTACTTACCTGGGGAAAATCTCTGTTTTTCTTTACAGAGCTGAGTGCAAAAAACTGGAAAAGCAAGCGGCCACATCTTAGTAGTTATTATATAAGTTTAATCCTTAATTCAATTCAAACCTGTGATTGTAAAAAAATTACCTCACTTACAGTTGTGATTAATTGTGTAGTAGGCTGTTTGTCTCTGCTGTGTGTTGGACATTTTAACATGGAGCTCTGTAGGGGTGATTCAGAGGTGAAGCAAGCCTCACGTGGCCGAGGCACTGCAGTTTTTGACACATGCCTTAGTTTTTCTCGAGGTCACTGGTTGCTGTTGGAGACTGACTACACCAATGCTTAGCCTTGGACAGTATTTTCTATCAGCATCATCCAATCAAATATTGCCTAACTCGGGTTACAGCTGGAATGTTTGGAAAATCTATGCCAAACACCGAAGTTGATCCTGAGAAATATATATGCAGGGGAAAAAACCTAAAACTAAATATTTGGGGTTTGCAGAACAGTGACATGAGCTGTTCTCAGCATTGGCCAATACATCAGACAAACCTCTTGTGTAGCTAATACACTAAGTCTCATGTGATTGTATTTGGCGACTTTGTTTAATAGCAGCATGATATCATGCTTCCTCAGCTGTCAGGTTTTGGTGTAATTCCTTCAGAGCTCCAGAGCTAGAATTTTTTCTGTAGCTTTCCAGCAGATATCAGGAAAACATACAGGCAGAAATCTGTTGTAAAAGCAGTTTCTCTTCTGACAGCAGGCTTAACAGTAAAACAACAAGCAGCCACTAGACATGTTGGACTCTCACTTGTTGTCAAGTGGAAAAAATTCACTCTCTTGCTCTTACTATCTTTATCATTATTGCACTCTCCACCTACACATGAAGCCAAGAGCTAAATCAAACAAGTTTATGCTTGTTTTCTGGCCAGCAGACATCTGGGAAACTGAGGGAGAAATATTAGTACATCAGAGGCATAAAGCAACATCGCATTAACTATAGCACATGACCTCGGGAAACAAAAAGCAGGTCAAACTTATTACAAGCACAAAACTATATGATAAGAGTTCTAAAACGTACTTGGGCACCTAAAGTCTCATGTGTTTAAATGGGCATAAATCTGCAGCTGTAACGTCCTGATTACGTCCTGGCTGTAGCTCAGGAGGTAGAGCATCTGTTTAGACCCACTGGCTGCTTCTGGAGTGTCGGTGTCGCTGTCCCAGAAGCATCCACATTGCAGTTCCTCTAAGGGTCACGAGCCAAAAGTACATCGATACTCATCCATCCATTTTCTACTCATCCAGTTCAGGGTCGCGGGGGGCTGGAGCATATCCCACATGCTATATAGTGAGAGGTGTGGTGCTCCCTGAATAGGTTGCTAGTCACCGTAGATGTCCGTAGGAAAATGTCCCCCTTTATAGCATTAAAGGCCATATTTACAACCTGGCATTTATGCGTAGTTCTTGGATAAACTATTTGGATGCTGTAATAAGAGGTACAGACAGCCCAGAGTCCAGCAAACTTCTGGTATCTAATTAGTCTGTTACTTAGCACTAATTAGCAGGTGTGTGTTTGGCTCAGAGTCAGAGTTCATCCTTTCCTGCCTCTTTTATGAAACTAACTTTGGCCTTCAATACAGTAAAGTCATTATCACAGACTGTGTAAAATATGGATGTAGACAGACAGCGTTGGGAAGGTTACTTTTAAAATGTATTCCACTACAGATTACAGATTACATGCCCCAAAATGTATTTTGTAACGTATTCCGTTACGTTACTCAACGAGAGTAACGTATTCTGAATACTTTGGATTACTTAATATATTGTCATGCCTTTTACAACATGAATGTCCTATTGCTGTGTGATTTATTACTATTACTGAAGGCTACTCTCCACACCAACACCAACTAGATGTTTAAACCTTAATATAAATGAGTAACAGTAGGTGGACATTAGGTAAAGCTGCACTTTCTGCAG